GAAATTCACAATTTTGGTAAAGCACCTTAAGACCCTTCCATCTATGAAGAGTATTTGATTCTACCATATCTGGGTCTTGAGAAGAAGATTTTTGAAATTTCAGTCAATTTGACCCTTTTTGGCCCCGCCTCTCAGGCCCCTGGGACTAAACCGGCAACAATTTTTGTTGACCTTTGTCCGTGGAAGGTTCCTGCAAAATTTCATTGAAATTGGTTCAGTGGTTTTGGAGAAGAAGTCGAAAATGTAAATTGTTTACGGACGCACGACGGACGACGACGGACAAAAGGCGATCGCAATAGGTCACTTGAGACTTTGTCTCAGGTGACCTAAAAAGAGGTAAACATAGTTAGGGACCATTGGCATCACCTTGGTGTACACCTTTACATGTTTGAAACAATCAGACTAATTTTATCTTTGACCTTCAGGTGAAGGCCACAGTGATCTGATGACACTGCATTGCACATCATCTGTAGTTGATGCAGGTATACTGCAAGTTTCATCAAGATATCTTACACTGTTTAAAAGTCATGGCCCGGACAAGATCATATTAGAAGAGCCGGAACCAGTAGAACCAGTACTAATACAGCGTGTCTAACTCCAGAGCCCCTATTCATGAAACCATTGTCATGCTCAAGCCTAATCCGGTTATAATTTTCAAAGGATTTGAAAATATTTTGAAGAGACTAAAGCCGAATACTGTTTTCAATCTTTGCGTTTGACTTTTTGATTGTTTGACATGATTTAGGTGAGTCGAAAGTTGGTTTAAGCACAGAATCCATGTTTGAGCATCAGAATGGTTTAATGAATACCAAAATTGAAGCTTCCCCATCCCCCTCCACCCAATATTGTGAAATATTTTAATTTCTCTTGTAGCAGATTAATTTATCTATCCATTAAATTGTTTAAGAAATTTAAATATAACATCAATAATTAGAACACACTAATATCTTACTATCGAAAAGGATAAAAGAGCAATTATCAATCATGTTGTGACATGAAATTCAAATTTTGATGAGAATTTCATTGATGTGTACTACCTGATGGTTATGCCGAACATAAACAACATGACATTATTCCAGCAACAACGGCTGTTCTATAATCTGGTAAACTTGTGTTTGAAATGCACCGTGAACATAAACAACCTACTCAAAAACTTACAATAGAATCTGCATTGTTGTTTTAAATTTACTTAAGGAAAAAATAATAATTTTAACATTAATGATTTAATGATACCAGTGGCGGATCCAGAGACCTATCTNCATGTGGGGAAAAATTGAGGAAAATGGTGAAAATACATGATTTTTAAAGAAAATTCTCAGGGTGGGGGGGTTTCCTGAAGCCGAAAAAAAAACCTCTGGATCCGCCACTGATTTTATTATACAGTTGTTGACAAACATTGTGTTCCATTGTGTCAAACTTGTTTCTGATGTTTTATCTGAGCAACAAATATTGTTGCAGTTTTAACCGAGGAAATTAAAGATGCCCAGCTAACACACAAATTATTACAGGGAGGTGATCTTAACTGTTTCTAAGTTAAGACTTAAGGACTAAGTCCCCATGGGTGGGGTGAGAGCTGGCACAAATTCTGATAGCATAAATCTGTTTGTGGCTTCATGCCCAGCCATTGCATATATAGTTATGGGGAGGGGATCTCAAACATTTCCATGTTATCACAAAGGAACTAAGTCCCAAGGGTCAGATCAGAGCCGAACCCTGGAGCCAGTCCTGGTCGTGTATTTGCCTCTTCATGCCCAACAAATGTCTACATCGTTATAGGGTGGGGATCTCAATGATTTCCATTTAATGTCCAGGAGAATAACTACCCAGGGGTAGGGCTGGACCTTTGGGGGCCAATCCTGGTGACACGAGTAATTGTGTTCGACTCATCATGCCCAGCAAGCAGGTATTTATAGTGTGGGGTTTAAACCATTTCCTACCAATAACCCCTTTCTCGCCTGGCACTTTATATAAGCCCCCTTTGAGTTACTACAGAGTCAGCCCCTCCCTTTGCACTCGTTTGAATTAGGACCACCTGTGGAAACTTCTTACTAAACATGGTTGATATCCATCTTATAATTCCAGAGAAGGAATTGCTGAATTAAGTTACACACAGCTATTTTTGTTGCCACGGCAGCCAGTGGCTCAGGTGTTGTTATCAGAAACACAGTGTGAAAGGGATTATTGCTGGACTTTCTCCTGCTCGCAACATCTGAGTAACAGACAGTTCTAAAACTAATCACTGGACTATATAATTCTGTAAGGTTCCTCATTGTATTCCCTAAATCATATATAGGAAGTCGAAGTTTTCAAACCTACTACATGTTAAGTTAGATTTACAAATGGTGGTTGAATCAACAACACATTATGTCAAATAGTCAAACCAATTTTTGTAATCTTGTTCACAAGTATCCACATTTTTGTATTTTATTTTTTTGGACTTGAAACTTATTTCATTTATATTCAAAATTTTATTTCACACCAAATAGAAAAATCTTACTTATCTGTTGGTGATGGTATCAGCTTCAATGAAAACAGTAATAGAACATAATGATCACTTAATAAGGCCAAAACAAACAATGGCTTGTTATCACATTCACTTCACTTTACTCAGCATTAATTAACAGTTGGTCTTGTATGTTTAACAGATATATCAATTAAAACGTATACACTGTGTCACACAAGGCAAAGCGTAGTTAATTATAACCTTGAGCCACCAGGTTAGATATCACTATAGCTACACTCTGCCTCGTATTAGGGTTAGGGTTAATTATAACCTTGAGCCACCAGGTTAGATATCACTATAGCTACACTCTGCCTCGTATTACAGTCTGTAACACAAGGACATGTGGTGCCCCCTAGTGTCAGACTGTCAGTGTCGACAACATGAGGAATGGATTGACATTTTGGACGCGGAGAGGAAAATACCACAGCCATCTTTCCAGGTAATTATCACAAAATAATTCAGGAAATTTATCTGGATTGTTATTTCATATGACCATTATAACAATAAATACCAAATAATGTAGATATCACGTAAATTACACGTGGATTTAATAAGAAATATTTAGAAATATTCTGCAGAGAATAGTACAATGGGCTTAATACTATGTGGAGATCCTTTCCATTTCATGAGGAATGAGGTTTTAAAAATGAAAACTTCAAGACCGCGTTCCTAAATCAGACATATTCGTGTAATCAAAAATCCTATTTCTGAAGAGGTATCACAAACAATATATATATTATATTCCACATGCACACAATTATGCTTTCCTTAGAGATTCAGAAAGTCACTAGAATTAAACAAGAGGCCCAGAGGGCCTGTATAGCTCACCTGTAACTGTATGGCCAGTAATAGTATATTTCGCAAAGGGTTGGGTATCTCATTCGTTTCAAAGTTATGGCCAAGAAATTATGTCCCTAGGGGTGGGGCCAGATCGAAGAGTCAATACTAATATCATGATTGTGTTTGTTTCTTGATGTCCAGCAATGGTATATATGGTTAGGGGGTGGTGATCTCCATCGTATCAAAGTTATGACCCAATAATTAAGTCCCTAGGGGTATATATGGTTATGGGGTGGGGATCTCCATCGTATCAAAGTTATGACCCAATAATTAAGTCCCTAGGGGTATAAATGGTTATGGGTTGGGTATTTCCATCGTTTCAACTGTATGGCTCAGAAATGAAGTCTGTAGGGGTGGAGCCAGACCCCAGGTCAATTATTATATCATGATTGTGTTTTTCTCCTGATGCTCAGCAATTGCATACATGGTCATAGCAGCCCGAGTTTCCTCTGGCCCTGACACCAGATTTAGACATGTTGACAGATAGATGTCTGGTGTGGGGTCAGAGTCCACTACTATATGAAAACGTGGAATTCTCCGACACTGTTTGGTATCAGGGAGCGACTTAATTATCAACAAAAAGATGTGGCCCGGAAACCTTCAATAATATTTTCTGTTTACGGTCCGGATCAGTACCATTTGTTGATTAGTCACTCCCATGACCTGCAAAATGGCATTTGCTCAGGTGGGACATTTTGAACGATTGAAAACCGAGGACACTACCACGGAATGTAGCAGCTGTTGGTGATAATAAGAGCGGGTTTGGATCAATAAATAATCTATTATCAATATATATGAGGTGTATGTTGTGTCATAGTCGATTTTTGTTGTCAGCCCCTCAAAACTCTCCAATACCAAATGGTGTTGGAGAATTCCTTTTTTTTTATTTATAAAGTAGTGCGCTCTGGCCCCACACCAGATATCTTTCAAAATGTGTAAGTTTGGTGTTAGGGCCAGGGGAAACTCAGGCTAAGGTCATAGGGGATCCCAATAATGTACAATGCAAGTCAAAAATTCCCCCGGGGAGTCAGCCCCATCCATTTGTACAATTTTGAATCCACACCACCTTGGAATGCTTCAGATCAAATGTGGTCAAACTCCAATTAACAGTTATGAAGAAGAAATTACTCTCCTGGGAATCACCATTAAATATCTCCAACATCTCTCGTGATTTTAGGTCCCTGTCAAAAGGACGTAAATTGCCAGCAAACAACTTCGCCATGACAACAACTAAGGATTTCAACCAATCAGCAGCAGGAGAGGTCGTCATGGTTACGGGAGGGGCAGGCTTTCTGGGACAACATATTATAGGCCACCTACAGGAAAAGGCCAGCCATGTGTCAGAAATCCGAGTACTAGACATACGCCCATACTCAAATAAGCTCGGTAAATTCCTTATACATTGAGTATTTTGCAGACAACTTTAAGCGAACTGAAACATGTTTGTGTTTTTTGTATCACATATCTCGAAAGGGCAAAACACAAAGAGCTATACAGAAGTACAGTAGTGGCCTTTATAGACAGATTTTACCAATGACAGATATTAAGTCTATATAAAAGGTCATTATAGAAAGGTCGTTTTATACTCAATGTATAGAAGTGGCCGTTATTGCCAGGTATTTACTATACAATCCAGTGGACTTCATAGAAAAATAATCTACTATATTTCACTTTCCAAAATTTTAATAACAGTACTATATAGTACCTGTTTCTACATGTACAAAATGTACCTACATTTGTTGTCATGATGACCAACATGAAGTTTATGTTGCTATAGGTCACAGAGAATCCAAGCCCCTGACCAGCACCCTAGGAGATATCTGCGACCAGCAAACGGTCCAGCAGGCTTGCCAGGGAGTGACCACTGTCATTCATGTGGCCGGACTGGTCAGCTATGGAACATTTCCAGACATAAACGGCATGCAGAGGATCAACGTCCAGGGTAACGACTATGTACCTGTATACTTTGTACTTGTATACTATCTACCTATGTTCTTGTATACCAATTACCTATGTATGTACCTGTATACTTTGTACTTGTATACTATCTACCTATGTTCTTGTA